ATATATATATATATATATATATATATATATATATATATATATATATATATATGTATATATGTATATATATATATATATATATATATATATATATATATATATATATATATATATATGTATATATGTATATATATATATATATATATATATATATATATATATATATATATATATATATATATATATATATATATATATATATATATATATATATATATATATATATATATATATATATATATATATATATATTTTTTTTTTTTTTTTTTTTTTTTTTAAATCTTACTCCAAAATATTTTGTAAATCCCTTAACTGCTGTCTTTGGTATTGTATATGAAAATAACAATTTGTCAAAAAGTGAATTGGACTCCATTGTCTTCTCTTTTGGGAAGACGCTTGATTTAAATCAACTGGAAACAATCATTTCCCCCTTATTTTGCCAATGATGTGTTGCATTTCCTTAGTTTAGAAAAAAAATCTGACTTAATTTAAATGGTTCTGGGTCCAAGTTCACTACGATGTGGCGTCCATTTAAAAATTACTTCCAGGTATAATTATAAATGGACAAAATGATGCTGATGCTGTCAGGTTTTGCTTGTACTGTACTGATGTTGTCTGATGTTGATTTGTTTTGTCTTTGTTTATACATACACAGTGTTAAAGCACTATGTTCATATAGTTGAAGTCAAAATTATTAGCCTTATTTCATTTATTCCCCAATTTTTTGTTTTAACAGTGAAATTTTTTTCAACACATTTCTAAACATATTAGTTTTAATAACTAATTTCTAATTACTGATTTACTTTATCTTTGCCATGATGACAGTAAATGATATTTTACTAGATATTAAGACACTTCTATACAGCTTAAAGCTTTACATGCTTTTATTATTCTTTTTTTATTTATTTATTTTTATTTTATTTTATTTTTTACTTTTTTTTTACAGGTTTTTAACTAGGTTAATTAGGTTACCTAGGCAGGTTAGGGTAATTAGGCAAGTTATTGTATAATGATGGTTTGTTCTGTAGACTATCAAACAAAAATAGCTTAATCGGAATAATAATTTTGACCATAAAATGTTTTTTAAAAAATTAAAAACTGCTTTTATTTTAGCCGAAATAAAACAAACAAGACTTTCTTGAGAAGAACAAACATTCAGACATACTGTGAAAATATCCTTGCTCTGTTAAACATCATTTGGGAAATTTTTAAAAAGGAAAAAAATCAAAGGGGGTTTAATAATTCTGATTTCAATTGTGTATATGTTGTGTTGTTAGTTATGTTAATTAATGAATGTTCTTTTAAATATTTAAATAAAAAAGGAAAAATAATTCAAAGCAGCATTATATAACAGCAGAATTATAAGGTTCTATCTGCGTTCTGAATGATTTTGAGATATTGAGCTTCAAAGTTTTTGCATTTCATAGCAAACAGTATATGTGAACATTTGTTTTTTTTTTAATAAAAAGCCTGAAAATGTAAGCAACTTTTAAAAAAACGTCCCACAATGTAAATAAGTTTTCATTTAATAAGAATGTCAACTCAATTTTGTCAAAAATATCAGATAGAACCTTATAATTCTAAAATTGTTATTATTGCTAAATTGAAAAAGTGCCATATTTAATACTTCCCTACACTGAAAGAGAAATTGCTGACTTAACTTTTTGAGTTGAATCAAATGAATTTTTCTAGTCATCTCAACATACATCAATCAAGCTGACTCAAAATATTAAGTTAAACTTCTTAAAATGTAGTTGAAGCCTAATTAATTTATCAAAATAAGTTAAAGCGACTTAAGTATTTGTTGTCTTGACTTTTTGTCATTACAAATTTAGCAGTTTTTACAGCATGTTAAAGGGATAGTTCACCCAAAAAGTCAATTAACTCAATTTTTACTGAAATAATATGATATTATAATAATATAATATTTTTCAAAATAGGGCTGCTATCATTTCTATCAATTTTGCAATGTAATCATTCGCAAAAGTCACATCACAGGATTCGCAATGTTGAGTATGGCTTTTTAATTTATCAGTTTAATCTGTTTTTGAGGCCTGTGACTGTATAATGATTTTAAAAATATTCAGGCATTTATTAAATAATTTTTATTATGTAATTACTGTACCTGAATACCGATCGACTCAGAAAACTGTGAAACTGTTCATGTTAATTGTATATATATATATATATATTTTTTTTTTTTATTGTATTGATCTAAGCATGTATTATCTTTTAATCAGATGCACTTATTTACAAAATCATCCCAATCAGTCTAGAATTATTAATTCTTTCTAAATAGAGATATTCAAGTCATCTGGTGAAATTGAATTCATATCGCAATCTAGATCACAGAATAACAAAATATTGCAATATTCAATTTATTTTATATTGTGCAGCCCTACTTCGAAATATCTTCTTTTGTGTTTAACTGAAGAACAAAAGACAGACGGGACCTATTGAAGATGGAAAAAATGATGACAGATTTTTCCCATTTGGGCAAACTGGTCCCTTTTAAAAGCATGTTTCTGTGCTAAACATTAAAACTGGTTCTGTAGGTTCGATTTTTGTTTCGATGTTTCAAATTCAACACTAACCTGCTCATCTCGTTTGCGTCGACCACGGGCATCGCCAATGGAGCGGATGACCCCAGGCCGTGTGAGGGCTGTGTGACCGAGGAGGCTTGGCCCACTAGACACAGACAGGCCGTACGGGTGAGGCCGCGAGTACGGATTAGACATAGATGTAATTACTGTGGGCTGAACCATCCACTGCAGGTCCTGACTGGTAGTTATGGCATTGATTGTTGGAATAAAGGCACTGCTAGAGCCAGGCATGTCTATTCGGTACTTCTGTGGAGGAAAAAACAAACAATTTAGTTACAATTCACACCATTAAATCATTAGTTTATTACCGGCCTGTTATTAAGATATTCACTGTTTATTTACACTTATAATCTATGACCTACCCAAAACCTAAACCCAGCTACTAGCAGCTAATTAGCAGTTTCTTGAGCTGAATGTCTTAGTTAAAGGTTTGTTAGTAGCGTGAGTTGTACATTAAAATGAAGTGTGACCACACAATATTTAGTGTAAGTTTACAGTTGCTCTTTATTAAAAAGTTAAACTTCATTTTTAGTTACTTGATTATTCATTTCTCGATCTGTGTTGCTGCATTTTACAAGCCACCTATTTTTTTAGTTGTTTTACAAATTCCCATCATCTGAGACTAATGAATCATTCCACAAGCTACCTCCCTCTGCACCCTCTTGACTGCTTGACCCCCAGAGCGACAGGGTGACACACTTGGTGAATCATGGGAAAGCCCAAAACCCTCCCTAGCAGAAGCCAACCAGGATTAGATAATAGCCTCTGTGATGCAATGGGCAGTGGATTCACCGCTGTGTGGGTATACAACTTTTTTTTTCTTTTTTGTCAATTAAGAAATTGATTGTCTTATCGCATCTGACTGCATTTGAACACCTCATTGTTTAAAAGAAGATTAAAAATATAATGGTGACTAAAATTTTGACAAGTATTTACTAAAATAAGTCACAGATTTCAAACTTTAAACAATTGGAGTGTTTAAATGCAGTCAGATGTGCTTCTTATACGATAATACATTTTTATATATATATTTGAAAACTTTTTTCTTTCTATTTTATATTTAGACCGGTATGTAATGCCAAGTTTTAATTTCAGCTAAATCTGTTGATCTGGAAATGCAGATTTGCAAATATTCAATTTAAAAAATATATAATCCTTCAAGCTGCATTTTACTGTTAAATTTACATTTGCCTGAATTTCCTTTTTTTAGTGTGCAACAATCTAATCACTTGCAGACAAAAATATGTAACATTTGTGACAAAATGAGTTTTCTGACTAGTAGCATAGTTGCAAAATCACTGTTTTTGTATTTTTTTATTCTCAACACAATTATATTATACATACAAGAAACTCTTTGTTATAAAAATTAGCAAAAACTTACATCATTTATGTATTTACCATTAAAAACCGTTTAAACTGTAAAAAAAAAAATGCTGGGTTCCACAAAATGATGTGTTGGAACAACATGAAGGACATAATCTAACTTATTAGTTTTTACAAATTTAAGCGGATTATTCGTAAAACAAAAAAAATTGTCCCCCCAAAAATCTCAAGTATTATGTTGTTTCAGCTCATTTTAAACACCTAGTTTGAACAAACAGCAAATGCCATCCTTTGAGTATAAATTGGCAAACGTTAACATTTTCATCTCTTCAAATACACTCACACACATATGCATGTACGTATATTAATTTATATGTTCACACTTTACAACAAGGTTTTATTTCTTAATGTTAGTATTAACATGCACTAATACTGAAAAATAGTATGCTAATACAGCATTAAGAATAGTTGAACATTTGCTAATGTGTTATAAAATCCAGAGTTGTGCTAGTTAAAGTTAGTTAATGCACCGTGAAATAACACGGACAAACAATGAAAATACATTATATAAATATGTATATGTAAATGCATAATACTTCTTTTTTTAAGTCATTATGTAAAAACATATCGTGAAATGTATTACAAATGTTATTCTTTGTACATATAGGCTGGAGTCCAAATGCTGAATCACTTTATGAGACTGCTCTGTCTATTCTAGACTGACGGGAAACTGAACTGGGATCCCGTGCCAGTACATTCCATCCACAAAATTCCACTCCATTCACACATTCCTGGTGGGATTTTAACGGGAAACGGACTTCATTTGAACACGTTGTTTACCGCAAATCATCTGGAAGGCATATGAATTACGGAAAACGCGCTGCTATAAAAATGAACGCGCGAGCAGTGGGCTATGTATTAACTTTATATATATATATATATATATATATATATATATAT